TATATCATTTTAGTCTTAAACTCTCACATAAAGTTCCATTCAAACTAACTTCTTCATTATACAATCAAATGCTAAAAGTTACCTTCCCCATTGAAAGATGCTTCATTATCTATCTCAATAGTTAGTATGGTCTGCACCATTTTCAGCATTCAGTGCTTAGCAATAGCTTCTTCTTCATTAGGAAATATGGCTTTCTTGTTGGCAATTAAATTCTTCCAAAAGCCTGATAAGTCAAGAGAAACCTCTGACAGCTGTTTGTGACTTGTAATCAGAAACACCAAAGGGCCACTGATTTATCTTTAAATAAAGAACACTCTTGCTCCAGAAGCTGGATAGTGCCGCAACTTTCTCAGGTCCAAGGACAATAATATCACAACTGAAGGAATTCCTCCTAGAATTTTTAAGGAAGCAGAGATGGCCCAGTGACTCTGGATTCCTGCCACTCTGATTAAACTGACATAAAGATATGTTTAGTGCCACACAACGAGAGATAATTAGGAGAAAAATGATGAGGCCGAGAAAAAAAGTATGTAGTGGAAAGAAATTCTGCAAAAACAGGCAGAAGGTTTAAATGTTTCATTATCTTTCTGAAATTCCAGCAGCTTTGAATAGCTCACAAGTGTTCCAAGCAAAGAAAACTTCAACTTCTGTGCACTAAGATAAATTTTCAAACACTATTTACATTTGTTTTCTTGGCTCATGCATCACCTCTGCAGCACCCGAGAGGCATTAAATATTTAAATTCCCTATTACTAGTAAAATAGGTGCTGTTTCTCCTTCTCACAGAATACCACTGGCACTAGCCAAGACATCTCATTCTTGCTCTAAGGTTGATGTTTATTAGAAGACCAGAATGAGTACACATTTTCTTGCCTATTGGAAGGTTTTTGATTTGTTACTTAACTAAACATGTTTGTACAGATTTCTTCATATCTTCAAGTCCTTAATCCACAAGATGCCAGTTGAAGCAATAATTATATTAATAAATTGTAGACAGTCTAAGAGGAAAAGAAAGACAGAGAGGCATTTGGAATTAACGTGCTGTGAATCAGTCCTGCATCATCCTTTGTCAGTGGCATTAGCAGGCTTTTTTCCCCCTTCTTGTTGCCTTTTAGTAATAATTTCCATGCATTTGACACATTTCATCTCACTCAATGCACTGAACCCTAGTACAACAGAACACCAATTTGTCAAACATACATTATTTGAGGATGCATATCAGTTAATCTTAGGCGACTGACATTGTCAAAGTCAGTCATGCTGGTGAGAGCTAAAAAAAACCAAACAAAAACAGGCTAGGCATGTAGGAGAGGAGATTGTATGAGAACACAAGTGTGGTGACTGAGACACCAGCACCCCCAAATTCCTGTCTTATAATTCTCAAAAAAACAATAATCTCCCATACTGGTTTCAAAGCACACATTTTCACTTTTACTGCAAAGAAGAACTGCAAACCCAAAAAGACTACTAGTTGACCTGGCAGAGGATAGAAGAAAGATTGATCTGAAAAGACTTCTAAGCCATTCAAGGTTAGTTTCACAGAAGCCTCTGAGAATTTTTTTGGAGTACGTGAATATAAGCTTTTGCAGCACTAGAAACAACATTTGCAATTCAGCAACAAAATAACCTAACTATTCTACCAGTATTACAGGACGATGTTCTAACAGGATTCTGTAAAAAAAAAACAACTAAACAAACAGGTATTTTCTGCTGTTGTTGTTTAGATACTTGAATAAATTATTTGAATTAACTAAAATTTGAACATAGGAAACTCCATACAAATATGTGGAAGAACTTCTTTATGGCACAAAACACTGGAACAGGTTGCCCAGGCAGGTTGTGGAGTCTCCATCTATGGAGATATTCAAGACCAGTTTGGACATCAACCTGTGTAGGGTGCATGCTTTAGCAGGGGGAGTGGATTTAATGATCTTTTGAATCTCTTCCAACCTCTGCAATTCTGTGTAATTCCGACTTCAAGATCGTGATCCAGAAACTGGCTACCTTGGAGATTCTGCAACATACCTGTCAGTTCTCTCTCAATGTTCACAGAAACTAGACATGATAATCATGCATGACATGAAGAAATAAGTAAATCCTCTGAGGTCAGTCTTTATATCTGTCTCACAATTGGGATCAAAATCAAATGAAAGCCACTATAGGATGGAATCAGACTTCTCTTAAAAACAAAATTTGTATTTATTTGTTCAATAGAGATAAAGAGAAATAAAAGGAAATCAAGAGGACTAAGAGAGAAGTAATGATACGTTCCACATATATTTAACATGAACTTTTGCCCAACATATCAATGCCTCAGGTAAGGTCATCTCTCTTTGACAAGACACTATTTTATTTACTTGGAACAAGTTTTAAGCACTACAAATTTCTAGCAATTAGTAACAACAGATCTTTCTCCTATTTACTACTGCAAGGTAGTAAACACTATCTTGTGTTTATACTCACTAATGGAAACACATCTCAGATGGAATTTTCTCATTCGGGACTCAATGAAGAACCACAGAAAACTTAATCAAAGAAAATACTCCTTGCCACAGAGAATTTACAAGAGAATGTTTTGCATCTATGGAATCCATGAAGTGACTCTAATTCTTTAAGAAATATTTGTTTGCAATTCACAACAGAGCAGTGCTATAATGGAAATCTCCAAGGAGGAGAGACAGCAAACAGATAGTGGAAGAAGAGAAGGAAAAACCCATCAAGAGTTTTGTTTGTCATTCTTCTAATCTGTAGTCCAAAATCTTTAGAAGTTCAGGTTAGAAGGAAAATATTCTGACATATAGCAGCCAGTGGAAAACAAACTATCTCTACTGGTTCAACAGCTGACAGTGTTCATCCAAAAAATCCCTCTCTGTTTAACCAGAAAAGAATGTTAAAAGCTGCCTTGTTTCACACACAGATAGTTCATTCTGCTCTACAACACCTAGTAATTACAAAGTAAATTTTTTCTTTAGAATGCAAGTTCTCCTTGATCAAAATTATTTTTCTTCAAACTATGAAAAAGACAAAACGCACCCTTTCCATCTGATCTTTGATGTACTTATTTTTTGCACAGGAGATTCATGTATTACCAGAAAAGAAACAAACAAAATAAACAAGAAACCAACAACAGACAAACACGAAGAATATACTGCAAGAAACACTTTTTTTTCTAGTCTACATCTAATAAAGAAAAAGAATTTGAAAAGAAGTCATCACTCCTATCCCTATAATCAGACATGGCACAAAAATATTTATCTGAAGCCAGTAAGGATTCAGAAAGGAGATAATATCATAAAAGCTGTAGAGCATTGGTTAATACGGCCCAATCCTAAATTCATCCTAAGAAACGAGCCTTCCAGCAGCTCCTGGTTGGGCTTCAATAACAAAGAAAACTAGAACAGCAGATTTGAGTGGGTGGGTACAAAGAGAACCCAGGGATTTTGTTTTAGAGTCTTTAGTAGACAGCATCTCCTATGACTTGCTGTACACTGCATCTTTACAGAAGGATGTAGATTTCATCTCTAGGAAGAGTGTGGAGGAAGACGGCCCTGGTCGTGCACCCACAAATAAAAGACACTTTTACAAATAAACTCTTTCAACTACCTGACACAGACTGGAATGAATACAAGTCTAAGGCATTTAATGCTTGCCTCGAGAGAAAATGTCAACTTCATTTGAGCAAGTTCTTGAATCAAATCTTTTACTGCAGAGATGGAAGAGAAGAATTCAGGTACACTTTAATCTGCTTTTTTTTTCCCCCGACAGATTATTTGAAGACAAAGTTAACAAGTAACATACACGTAATCTAATTGGAACCACCAATTGCAGACATCAAAGTCTTTCCTCTTTTGAACTGCAGTCAGCATCACCTCTACAGAGCTAAAAAAAGTAAGAAGTTACAAGAAATTGGAGAACATCATCAGGTTAACTTTTAATTAATGCCCAGTAAGATCATTGTTAATTTGACTGTTACTATTTATAAAGTTTTCTACAAAGGCTGTGCCTGGGAGGCTACATTTTGGCTGAGACTTCTTTCCTCTTGCACAATTGTGTAATTAGATTTTTCAAAAATATAAACAAAACCTTTCACCTCTCTCATGCAGCTAGCTGTGTCAGCTTTAGAACATACGTTCCTTCTGCAAACATGCCAACACCTTGCAATGGATACTATGACAAGTGCTGACACTGCTATGAAAAGTTGATGCTTGGCTACCAGATTTTGTGACAATACCAGGAGGAAAAAAAAAATAATAATTGCCAGTTCCCTTCCTCTGACTCTCATGGAAAAAGAGGACACTGAAAAAGAGGTGTGTGTGTATATATATAAATTAAAAAACATAAAGTAAAAAATAAAATAAAAATAAAAATCAACAACTATGCACAACTAAAAAAAAATAATCTAATATTCTAGAACACAATTTTAAATTGACCACTTCATTCACCCCCTAATATCAGGAACCAAAATAAGAAAAAAAAAGAAGTCTGCCTCTTCTTCCTTCAATCAATACAATCCCTTAAGAGTCCAAGCTTCAAAACATTCACATAAAATATTAGCGTTATATATTTGCAGTAGATAAACTGAACCAGCAAGGCAATCAATCAATTTTCAATTACTTGTGGCAACTAGATAAGACGATAGCAGACACACTAACAACTGACAACAGACACCTAATGAGCGGGCTCATACCTTATGGAAGTCACGAGCTTCTGGGGTACATAATTAATAATAGCCATTTACAATCATAAATATGTATTTCCTCTTCTGTTTTCAGAAAGAGAGTTTATTGTATGGAAACTGAGACGTGCTCATCACCAAACCATCCAGTTCAACTTCGTTTTCCAAGGACTATAAATTGCCATTTGTCTTATGGTGGGGGTGGGGAGTCACGAAATGCATCAGTAAAATTTCAGGTGTGGCACAAACACGAATGTATCTATTATTCAGTACATCACAGCTTTTTACAATGCAGTAGATGTGCTGTAAATAACGCCATACTTACGACATCAAACTTCTGTGTGATGTTCCCCTGGACATCAAGTAAATAAACTTTGCCATAATGCGTTCCCAGTGCCAAAAACTGTAAAAGAAAAAGATTGATTATACAAGACACCACAACCAGAACTACAGCAGTGCTAAATGAACTCCGGGATGTTTAACAGATTAATGATTAGCAACACTCAGAAGGAAAAAAAAAAACCTGCTATAGACAAAGCTTATTTTAACTGCAGCTAAAGAATAAAACAGGGCTTCAAGCCCATATTACTGTGATAGTGCAAGTTAGCTGTCAGAATGAGTCATGAGGATCCTCATCTACTGACAACTAATGGTGTGTCTGCAGTCTGTATGCACTGCCTGATGGACTGTGGCAGCAAATTAAAAATGCAGTGTGAAAGCAAGTACTTAAACACAGACCAGAAATAGTTCTGGGATCCTTTCCATAGCTTTGTTTCAATTGTCATGGTATCATTTGGGCTTTAATTCTCCCCCATCACAAACATAAAAGCAAAACATTCAAACAGAGGAATAGGCCATTGGTGAAACACTGCTGGGTTATGGAAAGTCTCTGCTTGCTTTTAAGCACACAGATAAGCACAAGGTTTGCCTTCTTTCACTTAGTAACACTGGTGTGTGGCAGACTCAATACAAATAACACTTCTCCTTGGGTATTTCAGAGTTTCATTGTAAAAAGAAGTAACAAATAAAGTGACCTCCACATAAAAGCATGCCATCACAAAATTATTTTGATATAAACAAGACTGCAATTGATTCTGAGAGATCTGCTGTTAATTGAACCATGCAAACTACACCTAAGCAGGAAAGGAAGAACTTTGGTACTACTTGATTTATGACAGAGGTTTCTTTTATTCCCCCCCACCTCCTTTCAGCATTACTCAAATAGTCTAGGCTCCTCAATTCTCTGTATTTCACTGCATGTGAGCATGCTTCATTGCAACCTATAATGAAATGCTCAAATTTACAGGCACTGCTAAGCGTGTCAGTCAGGCAGCACAATCTTTAAAAAATAACCTTACAGAAAGTCAAGGTTTAAAAGGATTTATCAAAATGGAATTGCTTAAAATGAAATTTCAGTTCAGGCACTTAAAATATGAAGCTACATTAAAAGGAGTCAAAAAAGGGAAAGAAGGGGTTCATTAGAAATTCATTCCCTGCAATGCCTTTCACTCCTGCAAGGTTGCCTTTTTTCAGGAAGAAAAAAGTCCCCCGGGTAAAAAAATCAATACTGGTTAATAAAACATCAGGTGTGCAGACATAACTAGGTATGACTATTCCACTGCACAGGCCTGCTTGAATGCACCAGGTGCCATGACGATTAGTCATCCAGTGCAGACAGCAAGCCTGGTGAAAATATGATGCTTTAGCAGTGAAAAGAAAAAAATAATTCTGAGGGGAAATTAGTCTGGAAACAGAAGCCAGATTTTCAGGATTCCCAGCAAAGTTCAACAGCTTTAATCAGAGCCATATTTTACACAATCCGATGTAATTTTATTCATGATGAGTCTTTAGCGGGGCTTTTCTTCATTCAGCAGGAAAAGAAACAGAACCAAACCAAAGAACACCCCAACAGCACCTTAACCCACCTTCAGTTTTAAGTTCTCTATTGTAGCAGACATATTTCAGACACATACCAGACTCCAGTACCTAGCTTCTAACCATATTGATCCTTCTCATAAATAGTGCATACAGTTTGCTGGGAAACTAAAAGTGTTGGGATACTTAAACAGCTTTCCTGTATTGCCACTCTTTGTGATGCTGTAGTTAAAGCTGTATCTGTGCACGTCCTTATAGAACAATCCTGCTTATCTCTTGCTTTTCAGAATTCACCCGAATCTCAGAAAGGTGGCACACAGATGGGGAAGCAATGCTTGCCAATTTTCAAAATATCTGCTTAATTCTAGGTTGTCAAAAAACATTTTCAGAAGACTTATTGGATTAATTCCCAGAGTTAAAATACATGTCTCATCTTAAGAGCCTCTTGAGCCGTGGCAGCAGTCCTTTGAGTGCAAGAGGCACAGCACGAGTCAGTCTGAAAAGGCAGCCAAATAACAGAGATAGGTCCCTCAACAATCAATGTTAAGGAGTTACTGGTGGCTGTGAAAAATAACTCGGAAAGCAACAATTATGTTTTATATAGTAACTGTTACTTGACAAATTACGAACTCTCATACTTTCAGATGTTCTGCATCATTCACATATTTTAAAACTCTCCCCAGTATTTATAAAAGATAAGAAAATAAAGCAATTTTTGAAGTCAAAGATACAACTTAAGTTCCTTTATGATAAAAACAAAGAAACAGCTCTTAACAAAATTTCTTCTTTGCACTGTTTATCCTGTCTTCCCTTTCATTCTCTTGTACATCTGAAACTGTATTAGAGCATTAAAAAAAAACCAACACACTGTAATTACTTTCTTCACATCATATAAACAGAAACTCAGACATCTTCCACAGCTGAATATATGCTGAGCTATCCCTTTGCATGAACCTGTTTTCAGAGATTGAGGCTGCAGAAATAAGCATATTACATGACAATTTATTTTCTGGACGAAGGAAAGTTGGGATTGTATCCCAGTTGTAGTTCATAATACTGTCCATAATTAAATCCAGTACATTTTCCAGTAGCTTAGGTAAACACAGCATCTAACAAATTACTGCATCTTGAATTCTGACTGTGAAAGGAAGGACTGTTCAACACTAACCATGAATTTTATTCACATTATTGTTGGCTTCCACTGCACCTCTGAATCTGGCAGTACTTCTACACATAAATATACTGGTGCATTGGAAGCACAGATAAATACATAAACCCAAGCACAAGTACCATCTCTGCCCTAAAGTCGTGTGATACCTTTTCATGCACTGTCATGCAACTGGCTGCATCTTTCTGCAGAATTTCTGTCACTCCATTAGAAAGTCGTTCATACTTCAGCTTGGGCTCCTCTTCGCTCTCATCTTCCTATGTTTAGAACGGTATAAATAGAAGGGAGGAAAAAATAGAAAAGGAAAACCATTTAGAAGTTAATTTTAAGTAAAAAGAAATGTAAATATACCCAGAATTGTTATACAGCAACAGGCATAGATGGATCACTATCACATCTTAACAACAGCCATTACAATCCAAAGCCAAACTTACACACTTTTATCATTCCAGAGTTTGGGTTGTGCTTTTTTGTTACTGCTCTTTTTTTTCACTCCAAAGTTTCGTGTGCAAACAAAGACTGTTAATAGCATAACAGTTCAGCTGCAGTCTAAGAGGCATTTAGTTGATTTCTAAAAAAGCATGGAAAAAAATGTGTGTGTATTTTGCTACATAAAATTAGTCATTCCCAATTCAGAGGAAAAATTTAAGAGATGGATATGGAAAAATGAATGGTGATAAAATAAATTGTTCTACCATGGCCACATTTAAGTCTAAGCTGAAGCATGCAGGTTACAAGAAACTTCAGGACCTTCGCAAGACGCAGTATCTCTGTAGGAAGGATAGGGGCAAAATGCTGCAAACAAAAATAAGAAGAACCCACTACAAGTAAGACAACTGTGTAAGGCATACCAAGGTTTTTTTAGTTAAATAAAAGTATATTTTTGCAATAGTATCTGGGAAGACAATCTGGACTTGGTCTGTTCTTATGGGTCACCTCTATCATCTGCAGTAAATACCAAACTTTTCCTTTCTTTTTCTTTCCCAGTGTGTTAGGTATTATCATCAATCGCTGCCTAGATGCAAAGGAAGTGGCACACTGTGAGCAAAGAGGAAACTGAGGTATAAAGCACAAGAAGCAAACTCACTGATCACCCAGCCCACTGTCTCCAGAGGAAAGGAAACTCAAGGTGCACACTGTTCTGCCACAGGCATCTACCTGTGACCGATGGTCTACTGAAGTATAATGCCAAGGAGAGATTTCATGAGTTTCAATAGGCCACAGTTACTACTGTACATGCCTAGACAGACACAGACCCATACATACTCCTTGTTTCACACTGGGAAGCAGTAGGCCTTTCATAATAATCTCCTACATACGCTATTAGTTCTAATTAATGCGCCAACACTGAAGGTATTTCCCACACAAAACACTTTCCAAAGCACACTAGTGAGAGCCCCAGTAATGCAAATCTTTTACTTCCCACAAACCATTGGTTTCCAATTCCTAGGACTAAAGATAAAAATGAACAGTGTCAGTCAGTGGCAGAAAAACTCTCTCTGTGCAGTGTCTTTTTGTAGCTAATGATCTGAAAAATGAATGTGGGAAAAGAGACGTTAATGTTTTGTTTCAGTTGCCTTTGCCACATTTGCTATTGCCACAAACTCCCATACAAAACATAAAAAAAAGCCATGTGGACCTATGGACACATTCAGTATTTAGCACCAGGCTTATAGAAATACACTGCAAAGAAAGGATCTTTTGAAATGTTATTTCAGAGTTTAGTGACAGAATACAAATGAGATTAATATAGGGATGTCAGCAGCCCATGACGTAGCAGTCTGAAGTGGAGTGTCAAAATGTCCACCAAGAAACAATTTTATTCAGTAAGCCCAACAATGAACAAAGTTGTTACCAGACAGAATGACAACGTTAAATTACAGGGCTGTATATAAATCAGCCAAATTACTTGTGCCCACAGATCCTTAATAAATGACTACAGTGGTACGGGAGGAGGTAGAGTCAAAGCAAAAAGGCTGGAAGTGGTGGAAGGAGGAAGGAAGTGTGCATCCATTCCACAGCAATTAATACATTACTGCATTTTATACACTGCTCATAAAGATTACACTTGAAATGTGTGGGTAATCTCTGAATAAATGTGTAAAAGTCAAAATTGAACTCGAGCCATCTAGTTTTTCGGAGATCCCACATGTTGCTGAAGTCTGGACATCAAATGTGCAACCAATGTGAAAAGTTAATTGTAGCCTCTTCAGTAGTTTGCATAAAAGCATTCATCCATGGACCATTAGATAAAGTCACTGTAAATAAGTTTTGCCTGTCTTATTTATGAGTGAAAACTAAGTAATTTTTCCCATATGCACATGCATACACAAAAAAAATATATATACTTTCAGAAGTCAGTGCACTGAAGCATTCTGCCAAGCTTCAAGAAGAAGTAAATAAAATGAAACCTCAAATAGAAGGCACAATGATGCACCCATTTCACGCTTTCTTGACAGGTATCTTTTATGTTAAGTAAAAGTCGAGCTAAAAGATGAATTGAAACACTGGGGGAGGGTAAGGCAATGACTTGGCTGTAAACAAAGTGATATGAAAAGGTGATTTGCAAAAAATGCGAGATCTCTCTGTTGCTGCAGACCCCAGCCCATATATTAAACGCATTTGATGATCCCTTCTTGAGAGTATCAGAGTTTAATCATTTTTATGGCATTTTTTTCTTTCAGGGAAAGCTTCCATGCAGCCTGAACTTCTAAAGTAAACACGAGCCGTTGTTAATAAAAAGCAAATCAATAATTTTTGTTAAATTTTAATAATCCTGAAAACCAACAAATAAAACCATCAGCAGCCTGAGCTGAGCTGACAGTTAGCTGCGTTTCTATGACAACCCGGAGGAACGGTGCAAGTCCTGACTCTCAGCAAAGCCGCCATAGAAGCACGGTGACATTTACCCCAGACAAGGAAACTCAAGCCTCCCTTTAAAAAGCGAAAAAAAAACCGAAAAAACAAAAATCAATTTCTCAACTAACATGGATTTTTACTAAGTGTGCGGCGCTTTTAATTAAAGAGAAGTCCTTTAAACCATCCTAGAGGAATCGGAACGTTCCAAAGTAAATTTTATAGCACTGCCTCTTGTACTGCCGCCAAACGCATCCTTCCACACAGGCTGCCTAAGAAAACACAACAGCCCAGCATCTTGAAATTCCTGTCAGATATTGAGAGGAAAAGAAATACATACTACACTAGACGTTGAAAGTGCTCCACACATGGCAGACTTGAATTCACAAAGTGCAGGAGTCCCACGGAGCTGACAAGAGGCAACTACCTTTGGGTTGCTTTAAAGTAAATAATAACTATTTTTCAACCACAGGAATGCTAATTTGAAACTCATTTTCCTTTCATTTTTCGCTTTGTCTGTTGCTGCTAAGCTAAGAGTAAAATTGCTAGGAAGAACTTGTATCCACACCTATTTCCTGTGGAAGCATGTTTCCAGTTGAAAGAAATATCCCAATTAGCTGGTCAGTCCAATCTAAATCCTACTCCTCTTAAGGGCCCTTCTTGCTTCTGAATTCCTGCAATTAAAGCTGCTCTTCCCATGCCCACTGTCCAGTAAGCAGGGAGCTTCCTCCAAACTCTTCTGGAGCAGATTCACACAACTGAATGGTGCTGCAAGTGTGCACTAAGTCCTCCAAGGGCCAGTATCAACATGAGGGAAGCAACCTGCCTTTTGACATGCAAGTTAACAGCCTTCTTCAAATATTCCGACTCTACCCTCCCCAGCTCTGCCTACAGGAACAACTGCAGTAAAATACTGAATAGGGAAAATAACCCAAGAATTTGTCCTGGCAAAGAACACATCCAGAAGGAAACTGTGGGCAGCTCCTGGAGTTATTCCATTAGCCCATATTTGCTCCTGCAGCGGCGGATCTGCCCACAGGTCAGTCTGTCACATGAACTGCATGCTCTGCTGATTGTGGATACTCTAATTATGTTACGGGCATTGACAGCAAAGTGTCATCCTTCCTGCACCATTTGTCCTCTAAGTTTTCCAAAGCCTTTATGGAAATAAACGGTGCATACGTTATAAGGCAAGTGCCCTTCATCTTTGCTTGCGCATCGCCCATCCAGTTCCAGCCAGAACTCCAATTACTGGAGGTGGTCACTCCAGCACTGTTTACACCTTCATGTTTCGACCCTGCAAACCATTAAAATCCAAAGAGAAAAGCATCTGAGTTAACAAGAAATTAAACTAACTAGTTACAGTTCCGGAATTGTTTGTCCACAAACTTGTGAAAATCCTGAGTCAAATCAAAGAAATAAATAATTCCATTTATTTGGGGGTTGATGTAAAGGTTCAAAGAGCATCCTCCATTACGCAAAAATTAAACAGTCACATCTTTGTGGTTTGCTGAGGGTAGGTTCACTTACTACAGAAATCACAGAATCACAGAACGGCCAGGGTTGGAAGGGACCTCAAGGATCATGAATCTCCAACCCCCTGTCTGACAACAAATAATATATATAATAAATAAAATATAAAATAAAATATATAAAAAGGCTTCTAGTCCCAGAATGCAGTCTTCATGGAAAACTACTTAATTCTCTTCTATACATACAGAAGCACAACGTCCAGAAAAATATCTAGTAGAACTCAGTAAGATCACCTACTCCTTTTCTGATCAAATCTAGGCTCTCTCAGCAGCTTCTTGACCAATAGGATAAAAATCTCCAAGCTCCAGCCTTTTATAGAGGTGGTGCCTTAATCGGAGGGCTGCAACGGTTTTATACATTTTATTTTTGAGGGCCTTTTCTCTACAAATCCCATAACTCATGTGGGACTAATGAGTACTCATTGGAATGGGTGGTACCCTGTTGAGAAGAGGGAAGGGAGGAACTTCTAACACCTTCCAGCACCTCTGAGAGCTGCGTTATCAGCAGGCATTTGCACAATGTGCCTGAGCCGTGGGCAAGCCCTTCCTTTAACTGCTCCTGTGCTGAATAGGGCAGGAATGTACTGGGAAGGCTGCACAATGCTCAGCTTGGACTCAGTGGGTCTGAGAAGCAAGGCTATTATAAGACGTATGAGAATGCTCACTATGCCCGACAACACAACAGATAAAACAAAACTATTGATTTCGCCTCATTACTACACCTAGAGATTTCTTACATTGGCCATAATATCTCCTTTGGTCCAGTAACAAAATGTTATGATTATTTTCAATCTTTTATCTTCTGCAGCTCAGATCCCAAAGCCTTCTTTTGGCCTTATCTCCCTTCATTCACATTCAAGAGATATCAAAGCACTGACTCATAAACAAATCTGATTTCACGTTTCCTAAGCCCCATTCCTACAAATTTTTAGAGAAAACAGTCTCCTTGTAGTGAGTGGCTCAGGAAAAGAGATTCACTGCTCCATCACTCAGTCATCTCTCATCCTCATTACCCAGACTGTATTTAGCCTGAGCTCAGCCCCCAGATCAGATTTAGCCTGAACTCAGCCTAGACAAACTAGTAATCCAGATTACCAGACACAAACTTCTCTCAGTAGCATGCCAGGAATGTCTGTATGCATCATTTCTTAATTCCTGCTTTACTGTATTTCACAAAGAGTTACAAAAAGATAACATGCTAGAGAACAAGATTGCCCATTTCTAAGACACGGGAATACAACTAGTGAATTACAAACTTAACCAAGGAGCAGTATGGGACATAATAAGCAGGGGATTTAATATTCTTAAAGCAGTTTTAAAGATTACAAAAAGGAAGCTTTTAACAAATTGCTAATGTCTGTTGATGATTGAAGTAACATTATAATGTGATAACAGAGTTTGGAGATCCCTTCAATCTCCGCTTCAGACCAAGTCTCCAAGTCCCCAGCTCAGTAATAATACTGAATGGTTAGGCTCCAAATATTGTTTAAAATTATTTAAGGACAATCATTATTTCTGATGAAAACAGCAATTATTTGTGTTGTGCTTTTCCAGCTAACATCTATGTTGCATTACTGTAAAAATAGCATTGGGTCACTATTTTGTACAATCAAGAAACACAGATTGCCATTCAGAATCCCAGTCTTCCCGCTCTTCCTGGTTGCCCATTTCTTCATTTTACCTTCTTTTAAAAGAAAAGAAAAACAAATCCCAAAGCAAAACCAGAAAAAAAAACATGCTGCTATCCACTGTTTAGGGACAGATATCCACTTTGCTGAAGAGACAAGTGACACAGGACTCCAACAAGGAGAATCACAGTAGAATACCTAAATATGGCAAAGGGCAACTTCATCATTACTGCTTCTCTACCCTGTAATACAATTTCCAGATTTCTGTTCCTGTCTCAATGGTAAAGAGACTACCTACGTCATTTTCAGGATTAGGATCATGACTCAGTTTTTCTCAGTGCAGTCTCTTAACACTACAAAAATGCTTAAATAATAATTAAAAAAAATAAATAATCTATGCCTCAAAGGCCTTTAACCTTCAAAAGCCTGGTTTGCTAGACTGTAAAGGATCTAAAAGTGTTATAGCAAGTTGTCTTATTTACTGTGCTGAATTTAAATATTAAATGCTTTACTGGACTCCCTTGAGGCTAGAAGTGACTGAGAGAACACAAATCTCTTTCCCTCTAGAACTCCCATACTGAAGTTTGGTCCCACATGGAAATCTTAACAAAATACTAAAAATACATTAATGCCTACCAAGGGCTCGGATTAAAGACATAAGGAAGAAACTTCCTTCCCTAGTTTGACCCTCAGATTATTATCCCCTACTGTCGTTTCAGGTAAGCAGCAGTGATGTAGGAAGAGCTCCTCTAAGGACTGTGAAGAACGACTTCAGAGCCTTCAAGTTGTGTTCTCCTCTATCCCTCCAGTTACAGGGAATTATGAGGGACTAAATATGACGGGCCAATAGATAATACTTGGCTCTGAGCCTGGTGTGCCCAACACGGGTTGGGTTTTCGACCTCTGCTTGATTAACATGAGACCGGGCCTGCTGGCCACCAATAGAAGTAACTTACCCCACCAACAGAAGGGGGTCTGACAATGGGAGTTGGGAAGGTTAACTGATAGAGCTTTAAAGTAGGAACAAATAGGGTGGGGGTGTAACTGTGTAGTATGGAGCCTGTATGTAACGTGCCAGTGCTTGCAGGAGGGGGATGTGCCAGTATGATTCCACAGCCTCGTGTCTTGGTGAAGGAGGAGGATGACTTTGGCTGGAACTCAAGTTTATGGTCTTTGGGAAAGTAGGCAAGCAACTTATGACAATTACAAGTACGTAGTGCAGCTGTGCAGGGAGAAAATTAGAAAAGCCAAAGCCCAGCTGGAACTGTTGGTGAGGGCAACATGATAACCAAGGATCAGGATAAGGCTGAGGTACTGTTTTATAAAGAAAGTTAAAGCTAAGCCCTTCTGTCCCCAGAAATGCCACCTGCATGCTTAGAGAAGACAAAGACCAAGGTGAAGTGCACAAGTTCTTAATATTCTTTGCCTTCTTTGCCTCAGTCTTTAATGGTAAGACTTGTTACTCCCTAGGTATATGTCTGCTGGGTGAAACACTGGCTGGATGGCCGGACCCAAAGAGTTGTGATCAGTAGAGTCAAATCCAGTTGGCAATCAGTCACAAGCAGTGCCCCCCAGGGCTCGGTACTGGGGCCGTTTCTATTTAACATCTTTATTAATGATCTTGATGAGGGATTGAGTGCACCTTCAGTAAGTTTGCAGACAACACCAAGCTGGGAGGAAGAGCTGATCTGCCAGAGGGGAGAAAAGCACTGCAGAGGGACCTGGACAGACTGCATCGATGGGCCGAGGTTACTGTATGGGTTTCATTAGGGCCAAGTGTCAGGTCCTGCATTTTGGTCACAACAACCCCAGGCAACCCTGCAGGCTTGGGGAGGAGTGGCTGGAAGCTGCCTGATGGAAAGGGACCTCGGTGTAGTGATGGACAGTGGGCTGAACATGAGCCAGCAGTGTGCCCAGGTGGCCAAGAAGGCCAATGGCATCCTGGCTTGCATCAGGAGTGCTGTGGTGAGCAGGACCAGGGCAGTCATTTGAGAAGAGGAGGCTGAGGGGAGACTTTATTGCTCTCTTTAAATATCTGAAAGGTGCTCACAGTGAGGGCGGAGTTGGTCTTTTCTCACTGGTGACAGGATCAGGGGAAATGGCCTCAAGTTGTGCCAGGAGAGGTTTAGGTTGGTATCAGAAAGAATTTCTTTACAGAAAGTGTTGTTAAGCACTGGAATAGGCTCCCCAGGGAGGTGGTTGAGTCACCATCCCTGGATGTGTTTAAAAACCATTTGGAGGTGGTGCTCAGGGATGTGATTTAGCAGAGGGTTGATGGAGTTAGGGCAGTATGTTGGACTGATCGTGGTTGAACTTGATGATCTTTAAGGTCTTTTTCAATCTGAGCAACTCTATGATTCTGTGATTCAAGTCACCCATTCAGATGCAGATAAAGCAGCAGCAAATGAAAGCTATAAACATTCAAGGTCTAATTCATTAGCCTGCCTAGCCAAAAACTGAAAAGACAGTTTCCTTCAAAACAAAGCCATATTTCGAAATTACTGATTTCAAGTGACAACCTTGGTAACAATATCAACAAAGATGCAAATTATTGAGGTGGGCAGTGGAGACAGTTATCTTTGTAAAAGACCTGGTTACACAGACTGCTGCATTTTAATGCTGCCTAAACACAGGCTCTGCAAGAATTAAAGCAGCGTGGAATAAAAGTCACAATCATTCAGAATAAATACCAAAAAAGACTGAGCTACCTATCTGTACAATTGGTTGGAATAGGAATTCCATAACTACTGCTGTACAAAACAACAGTAAGACAAAAGACTGAAAATTCCAAACCATGAAGTCACATTCGGTACTTTTGCAGCTAAAAACCATTTTCCTCTAGTTCTATAGTGAAAATTCAGTGATGTTAGCTCAGTGAAGGAAGGGAAGTGCATAACCTGCCATCCAGCTTCTTTATGATTCCTCTAAGGCAAATCACCAATACCTTCCCATCCCCTGGCTGTAAAATTGGCAAATCTGGATTACAATGTTAAATTTCACACAGCACTTTTTCTGTTCTCCCATGCATTTTCTTCAGGGATTTATTTAATCCCTCAGCCTCTTTGGGAAAATGCAGATATACTCCAGGAGCAAGGAATTATGATGATATGGCTGCCTGTGAATATGTATCAAAAAGGGCTGCATTCAGAGTATGAAATAACAGGCGGAAGAAAAGCAAAGCACTGGGCATTTTATTTCTTCTCAAAACTGTTGTGGTATGCAGAATGTCACACTAAATTTCCAGGACACCAATTGAAGATTCACTCGCACAGGTTTGAAGAAGCTGGTCATCAGCCAAGTTATGAAGCAGAAATAACACAGGCAACATACTGCACACGAGCAATCATTATAAACGGCATGTAATAGAAAAAGAAGTAAAGTCCATAAAGTAAGTCTTGGTTCCAATTCAACTCCCACCAATTTCTTTTCTTTTACTGATAGTTTTGTGCAGGGCAAAAAACATCCGAAAATTTTTTCACTGCTCCACTTCAGGAACTAAAAAAACAAACAAGCAACACCACAGGATCAGTCCATCCACCTCAACTGTACCATGCTCACAGGCAGCACAGGACAGCCTGTTTTATCTTCCATGCCCATCCAGGAGTGAAAAATCCCAACAGTTACAACTCTCAACAAAACTACACATTTCTACTTGTATTTTCCCTTTGCTGAGTAAGGAACTTGGGCGAGCATTTGTTTCCTTCACAAACCCTACTTGAGCAGTTGCCACCTTGTGATGTACTGCGTATGAAAGCCCTACAGTGCGGATTTGGGAACAGTAATTTTTAACAGTTCCTTTCACCCACTTACCACAGTGAAAGAGCTAGAAGGCTCACAGCTGAATTTCCCCACTGCTTTCCATTTTCTACCCCTCACTGTTATTCCACCCAAATGAATGCATTTAGTCTCTTGGAAAGGCCACATCTGCATACTGTTAACACACCGGCTTTGCAACTGCATTTCATTTCTATAAGCTGAGCAGTACTTTTACTTTTTACGTATTCCACAACACGCAGGCAGAACAGGCACTTTGGTTAATATTAATAGCTCATTAAATGAAGTATGTAATTTTCACCCCAAACCAGCAGGTATTAAAAGAATTTAGCAATAATCCATTTTTCCTGCAAGTCAATCCTCTAACGATGTATATTATGTTAGTTACTACTCACTGTAAACTTGTTTTTCTAATTAATATATGAAAAAATTCCATTTAAACTGCCATAAATAATTTACCATGCTCATCCTACTGACTCAAATTGATAAATAATTTCCATGATACATTTTCCTCATTAATAAGGAGGATAACTTTCTATTTGGAATTTATATGTATTTTCCTTCCCTTCTCCCTGTGTAAAAGGCCAACATCACTTAAAGCCATGCAAGGACAAGCATCGTCTCTCCAGAGTGCTCGAGTACATATTTTTCTCCTGGCTTATGTTTTTAAAACTGGAAATTAAAAAAAAAAAAAAAAAGGCAACCTAGTATGGAGTTATTCAATAATAAAGACAGAAGGCATGATGACATGAAATGATTTACAAAAGGTCAGGCAGAAAACAAAAAACTGCAAGTTGGACTGAATTACGGTAGCCAAGTCTACTCATTAATTTTTTGTTGCAATGGTGATGCTCCTTCAAAAGCTTAGTAGCCACAGAAGAGCTCACCTCTTCCAGCCCAGTGCCCAGCACTCCATGTTAAGAGGACATTTTGATGGAAACTGAGTATGACAAGGAGCTTTTTTTACCAGATGCTTTATTTACTTGAAACGATTTAATTGCTTTGACCTAATCCAGACCTAGCATACAAGACAAAGATCTGGAGAGCACTGAAAAGGAAAAGAAAACATCAAGGCTTTTCTTTTGTTGTCCTCCTTTTAATGCTTACACATTTCATAACTGTGTTCAAGTTCAGATCTGTCTGAACACTGGGTTAACAAAGGATTTCTACAATAACTTCCCTTTTGTAAATTCTCCTACGATTTAGCAGTATGGTGTTTAAATAGCTAAACGAGAGAATTAAATGAAGATTTCCTTTTCACAAGGGAGGAGCGCTCAAAGATCAGGGAACGGGCAAAAAAATCAAGAGTGGGAGACATAAAAATGGAAGCGGTGGAAGTGCTCAAATGGAAACACACCATGCTGTACAGCACAGAGATACAATCACTAACAAACACAAATACCTAACAGAAAAGAGCAAGGCACATAGCAATGCAGCATTTTAACTCTAAGAATACAAGTTATTATCCTTCAAAACTTTTTGCATGAAAGAAGCATCTGCCTTCCTTGTTGTTTTCTTCAGCAGGTCGAAAATACAGAACAAAAACTCAAGTCTGCAGTGCAAGGCACAAAAATCAGTAAAATTCCTCACGTGATCACAGAATTTTCTATGGGACAATGCACTGGTCTTATGATTCCACTGACACTTCTTTTGAAGAAAGCCCTTGTAATGGAAATAAGAACTGGAACAGGACCATCTGCTCATACGCCAAGTAGTAAATTAGAAAGGAAAGAACATTAATAAATAACTAGCCAAATTGCAGGATGATAACTTAGCTCTGATTCTCTCATCAAGAAGGAAGGCTCCATTTCCACTTCATGAATTTCATCTAATTAGTTGAAAGTAAAATAATATTTTCCTCAGGACGCCTCACAATGGTCCATGATGAAATGTAACAGGATTATCTCATTAAAAGCAACTTTCAAAGCAGCAACAACCTTAATGCCAGAAAAATGCTCTTTTGCATCTCACTTTCCTACCATGTTGCACTCCTGCAGAAGAAAGCCTGAGTACTTTCTTACAGATTTATTAGCATCATCTTTTCATTCATTAGCAAAATCTAAGATGGGTCTGCCAGAAAGAAAACAACTCAGTTAAGAAGAAAAGGATTTTACTGAAACAGACACTGCAAAAACAGATGAATTATTTGAAATCAGGAGGTCAGACTTAGGCTATACATAATTAAGACTTTTTTTTTCCCCTCCACAGTTTATGAGTAGCCCAAAGTTAGATTACTTTCTTGTCTATTTTTAAGGTCTCATCATATGTGAAGGACCCAACATGCAGCTCTAGGTGCTGCAAAATAAAATCAAACAAGCTGTTGAAAGCACATTGTACTAGGAATTTTCTGACAAAAAAAAACCTGAGCAAGGCTCAACCTCAAATGCAGCCCACTTGATAATGAAGTTGTGAGAAGTAAAGCAAGCATACTTCATAAGCACAACGTGCAACAAAATACACAGAAGAAAACCAAACCAAAACAACAAATGAACAAAATGAAACACACAACAAAGAAAAAGATGGAGCAGGAATACACAGCAAGCCAAGTAGGTTTTTCTTTTGAAAGCTACAATATAGCATTAGATACACAGCTTCTTCATCGTATCAGCCTGTCTAAATGAAAATTACATTTACAAAACACCATAAGATACGTAAGGATATGAAATAAAAGTCTAAGTTGTACTGTGGTTATCAGGAAAGATGTACTGACACACACAGAGATGCCTGCCTAACATCTGAACAGACACCACCTCTGCTAATGAATACCTCTTGATTTTACACATTCTGACTTAAGCAGAAGGGAAGTATTAAACACATTTAAGCAGTTTTAAGAACTGAATTTACTAGAAGAGAGAGTAGTAAACAAACTTACAGCGAGATGCTCTTAGCTGACACATATTTGAAATGGTCACTTTTGTGGACTCCCACATTTGAGGTTTATTATAAAGCTTTACCTCCAAGCCCATGCAAACAAACATCCTGGTGTTTGGTAAAGAACAGGCCATTCAAAACAAATCAAGCAGGTAACAAATTAGGATTAGCATGTTATTTATTCACTGCTAATAAAGGAATGACATCAAAGGAGTTGCTGCATAAAAGAGAATCACTGCGCATTTGGTTCTTTAATAACGCGACGGCACAGCAATGCAAGAAGTACAAAGAAAACCCCACATTCTGTATTTTGTTTATACATCCAGTCCAGACAGGGACATCATTTACTCAAAAACAGTTATTCAAAGTTATCTTCCTCCATAATAAAATAGATTTCTGTAATATAACCTGTATACATCATACGCTCTCTGAAACCAACAGTAATAACTTTCAATTTTATGGAAACAATTTAAATGAAATTAAGTGCAACCAGTTGTATATGTAAAAACCTTTATTACTGTGGTGGCAAGGCCTCTACAAAATCCATGCCTTAAATACTATTTTTAACGGTTCAAAAAGGACACTGGCTGCAAGGATTAGAGACCCAGCTCCTAGAACTGTTCCTATAAGGTCCATCCCAAACCACGCGCCACCCAAAAGAAATCACACAGTTTTACAGTCACAAGTAAGAGTGAAGCTGTCAGCTTGCCCTTCAAATAGTACTAAAGAACATTAACAACGTTTAGACGTGCTGCTCCTACCACTATTTTTTATTCCACTTTTGATTAGACAGAAACTGCATCATACTCATCCTTCCTCTAAGTAAAAATAAACAAAAGTCCAATAACCTGTTAACACATTTATATTAATTCCACTGTAAATTATTCATTTGAAATAGACTAAAGTGTTAAGAGGTTACTGAAACACTAGAAACACAGGCCCTCATATGCAATAGGCTTTAAAGCTGCAAAAACTGGCAGGGAGTCATACACATTATTCTGTGAATATCAGCCCTGCAGAGGAGATTGTTCTTCTACATAAGGCTGAGCATTTGGTCTGGTCACTATTTGCAAGTACTTCACATTAAGGCCCCTCCACACACAGTGTGGCTCTAGAACGAAAATGTTTCACATAAGGCAAAAAGTCATAGGTCAGAGAATGGCCTGGGTTGAAAAGGACCACAGTGATCATCTAGTTTCAACCCCAAAATAGTTGGTTCTCAGCAGCTGCTCCACAGTGGGGCCAAAGAAATCTCTGCTTCTTCCTAGGAGCACCCTACAGTGTCACAGCCACTCATGGAAAGCAGAGGAAAAAGTTATTCCACAGTCATACAAGGTACCCCCTTGCTAAAGACTCTTTCAAGAACCACTACTATGGCCTCTGCAGAATCCATCACTCCGCAGACCAGGATTTGTGCCTGCTTAGCACCTATGCTTGAAGTGTGAAGATTTGGCACTAGATAAAGAAAATATCTTACTCTAATGTAGTATTAGTGCATGTATAATTATACTGTCAATTAAATTTTCAGTTCTTTCATATGGAAACAAAGGTGCATACACTTGAATTTTTCTCTTAATTCACTTTCCTACAATTTGGTGACTGCATTTTTAAGTATAAAAAAGCATTTAATAGCAAATCACAGCTCCTTTTCAATAATTGAAGTGTAGCTTAACATTTCCTGCTATACTGTATCAGCAGAACTTCTAAATAAGCAGCTACCAAAACAAACCAGTGACAGCTGTATTTTTCCAAACCGACAGAGGACTAGCAGGCTTACCTCAGATTCATCTGTTGATTCCTCATTAGACCTTGTTTCCTGAAAACAGTGCAAAGAGAAAAGAGAATGTTAGCTAAGTACATACATAACCCTAAGTGAATGAGTAATAGTTTCCCTTTTAAACTATTTTTTAAGTCCTTAATGAGAGAGAAAAATGAAAGCAACTCAAAGTTCAGTGTTTCTCAACATTCCAGCAGTTATCCTTCCCACTCACACCTACACCATGGGCATCTAATCTAGTGCCACACTGACACTCAGTGGCACCAAGTGACCATGAGACTGCTGCTCCCTGCCCTACAAGGAAGGGTGAAGCATGCCCTCTGTGAAAGTCTTCCTTCCCTCAAGAAGCACTAAGTTTTACAAAGCAATGCCTTGTGGTTTGACTCCTGAAGCAGAATGGCATTTTCTTGTTATCCAGCAACAAGCTTCTGCATTCAACTATTAGCACAGTTATTTTAAAACTCAATAACTTCAAGCCATTTTCCACAGAAATCAGAATTTAGTGATTTTTTCCTTCCTATCATATATCAACACAAACCAAGTGGCTTTTTCTTGCCTTTAAAGCAACTGTAGCTTTAAAACATCTCTGTGTGGCAAGACCATGAATCTTACTGTCCTACCAACAAAAAAATCTACGTTGATTCCTGCTAATCTCTCACCTGTCCACTGGTAAAATCTGCTGATGCAATGCCTCCTCAAAGAAGTCAGCAAAATGAAGATTTACTTAACGTACTTATTGCTATCAATTGCAATAAAAGGTTGCAGCTAACAGTGACAGTGAATGTAAGCATTTTAACAACAAAATATGATACAAGCAAAGAATGAGCAAGCTAGAAGGCAGCATTTCAAATCTTATAACGTAATATTTGGATACTGTGATAAATAGGTAGGGAATTTCACCTGAGAAGGAAAAAAAAAAAAGAAAAGAAAAGAAAACAGAGTTACCAACAGTTTAAGGAGAAAGGAAAAAATTAATGCACTGATGACCAGTGTCATCTTTAGTCTGCCACATTTATTTATTTTCCCTATTTATAAAAGTCAGTGCGACTGTCACCTCCAAGCAGAAATTAAATGCCTGCAAAAGCCTCATCTGCATTACTGGAGGTTCACCTTTAGTGACCATCACAACTGATTACACATATGGGATATGGGAGAAAAGAAAAGCTGCTTTTTGCTACTTGAAACTCACTGCAAGATGTAACCAGGATTGCTACCATCTTACCATATACAGCCAGGTCTATCTCTAAACCACATACCCCAGGGAATGGTAGTCTACATTGCCTGTATTAACAAGTAGAAAGAGGAAAGTGCAAGCAGGAGGAGTATGGTAGTCAAGAAAAGGTGAAGAGGGATTAAAACTCAGGTATCCTTTAAGCTTAGGCTTAACTTTTATCACTGTGGATCAGCCTCTCCATCTGTTCTTTCAGAAAACAGTAGTTTTGTTATATATGAGTACAATCTCTGTGCCTTTTAACTTCTATAATAACAAATGATGAGAGAACTAAAATATCAGGAGGTAACGCTGGCAGCCTATCAGACAAGCTATAACAACACACAGAGTCCCCTGCAAAATATCACTAAATTCTGAACATAAAATTTGCCTGACACTAAGATTTGCATACTCAGCTCCTTTGTACAAAAAAATGATGGATACATCATTCTGATATTTAGATACACTTCATGTAGTTTATATCAGAAGGACAATGTGTTTGGGGAAAAAAAATTATCTGTTTTCTCTAAATAAGCATTTAGAACAAGGGACATTTTTGCTGCTACACCATTTGGACTTTTTTAATGGACTTCTTAGTGCAGTTACACCATTTACATCTTTCCCCATGCTTTTTAATTGTTTTGGTTACTCAGAAAAGCAAGAGCTAGGGAAAAAAAAAGCGACAAGAATTCTTAGAGGGAGCTCACTGAGTTTAAACCCCACACAGACAGGCTCACACAGGTGCACAGCAAAGTTACAGCTTACTTGCTGTTCATTCTTACATCCATTTGTCACTTAAAACAACAAAGATTACACTAAATTGCAAGCTGTTATGTGAAAGGCCATCCTTGGAAAACAGTGCCCTATAAAGTCACAGTGCACCAGAAGTTGATTCAAATCAACAATCTATGTGAACCGTGAGAATACCAATCTACGCTGCTAACGCTGCTGTATTAGCAAGCCACTGCAATTGCTGCTGCAAAATTTCATAAACAGAACAGAAATTCAGGTAAGTGTTCTAAGGTCTTTCTGATTAAAGAAAGAAAACATCACTGAATAATTCAAAAAGAGTCTCAGCTTGGGCAACAAATGCAGAAACTCTATTTGCTCCCTGACAACAGTTTTGCTGAAGGTGTTCAGAATCAACTCGTACCAACTAATTCACTTGCTAGCAACTTAGTGAGAGAAGCTTTTTCCCCAGAACTCTCCTACCAGCACAGGCAGACTGTAGTTATAACTATCCTGGGGTTTTGTCAGGTTGTTTCCCTCTATCACCAAATGCATGAAACAAGAGGACTGTACCCCACTTCTAACTGTGGAAAGGAAATTCCTCAGCAGGGAATTGTAGATGAGCAGAATCTCAAATCATGTAGGAATAACTGCCATTAGCAGGTCTCAGGCTCTAGGGTAAAATCGGAAGTATGTCTCAGATAGATAGCAAATGCTGTTGCTCAGACAGCCTAAGAATAGAGAAAGAGAAAACAGATGAGGAAGTGACAGAAATGCAAAGTAATCTCCAACCATTAGAATCTCTCATCCTGTAGATCCAATATGAATTTTCAAAAGATTTTTTTCACTTGGCTTCCTAATACAACGGATATAGGGTTTATAAAACCAGATGTTACCAACTGTTTAGACCTATTAAATCTGCTGGGAGTGGAAAACTGTGAAACTTGGATTGCAAAGAAACCGTCCCACTGCATGCACAACATAACATCCCTTTCAGTTGTGCTGTGCATACACTGCATAGAAAATAAACAGAAGACAGCAAGGTATCTTGAACTATATCACGATTACGAAAACACAAACTGCTTTAATCTCTTACTTTACTAAAGCAGGTAAGAAAATTTATCAGGATTGGTTTTATCCCAAGGGCTCTCTGAAGTGTTATTAGTTACAAGCTTACCAAATTAGACAAAAAAAAACAAAACAAAAACAAAAAAAAACTTCCCCCCAAAAGAATCCAGCCTCTCACAACAAAGTCTCTGAGAGCAGAAAAGATGGAACCAAATGGCCAATTTCCTTGAGAGAGTTTTAGAGCTCTTCTTCATTTGGTCTCTCAGGAAGGACAGGAGCCGTGCTGCTCAGCTGCACATCAGAAGTAAGAGCCCTAACTCAGCAAACAAACCGAGAAAGTATTCAGAAAGCCAGGGAAAGCCATTTCTAGCTTTAATTTTATTGTTTTCTCATCCATTCCAGAGGGGCCCTTCCTTCCGCCCCTTACTCTCCCCAGCGACGGTGCCAGCTGCATTTCAATCACCCGGCCCCAGCTGCTAGAATTCTGTATCAAATGTCACCTAAACCCAGCACCCCCAGCCCGGGCGGTCCGCTCAGACAAGCCCTGACACTCAGCAAACGAGGGGAAGGACTGGAAGTTTCGCTCGCTTCCTCCTCTATCTCCAACCCCTGCTGCCGCCACGCCGCCGGCCCGCGCAGCCCCGCCGCCAGGGCTGCTCCCTGCCCCCCACCTCCCCGTTCCCGCTCCCCGTCCAGCTCCTCGCCCGCCAGCGGGGCAGTGCCCTACGGCCCCTCTCGGCCTCTACCTTCTCCGCAGCTTCCGCCATGGCGCGGCCAGCCAGCCGTCATGTGAGGGCAGGAAGGCGGAGGGCGGAGGCGCCTGGGAAATGTAGTTTGTGTGGTGGCTGGGTTGTCTGTCCGTGTTTTAATCGCCGTTCCCGAGCGCGTCTGCCTGTCTGTGAGGGTAAGACCCGTTGACGAGCGCTCACGGGAGCAGCACTCGGGCTGTTGTGACAGGAGGGCCTTACAAAGCCTGCATTTCTTTCTACAATTCTAAGTGCTGCTGCGTTTTCTCTCTTTAAAACTGAAGACCTGAGCGCCTGCAATGAATCTAAGCTACTTTCTTTCTGCGTTAAAAATATCACCAAAGCTAAATAGCAGTACTTTCAGGCGTTATTCACGTGAGGGTGATCAACAGTGTTAATGTACCGAGTCCTCACCCTCGTTACCAAGGCCCAGAACTGAATATAACGTTCAACAACTGGGGCTGTCAGGCTGAAAACACAGGACTGTAAGGTCATAGAGTGGAAGTTAAATGCAGTTGGCATTACCATGACATGGTGGTGTAATATTGGTGGTAGGTAGACGGTTGAATTAGGTGATCTTAGAGGTCTTTTCCAGCCTTAATGATTCCATGATCCTATGACAACAAAAATGGTGTGTCTCACTGCCATAGGAAGACTTCAGTCAAGAGAAAATACAGCTGTTGCTTGAAGACACACTGAGAGGATGACGCTGGGTTGAGGACCTTCAGTCAACTGTGCCGGTACAAGAACATGTTACTGTCATGAATAGATTTAATTTCTAAGGGAGATAATACAAGAAAACGTGAATTTTTAATCAGTTAGCAGATACCTCGAGGCATCGTGGCAAAGGCGTACATAAATGCCATCCTGATCATATACACGTAGGACACCACATAGAATGGCTTGTGTTTAAGGGGACCTTAAAGATCATCTAGTTCAAAACCCCAGCCTTGGGCAGATTTGCAACTCACCCAGTCACGCTGCCCAGGGTCCCACCCAACCCAGTCTTGAGCTCCTCCAGAGATGGGCATCCACAGCTTCTCTGGGTAACTGTTGCAGGAGCTCACTACCCCCTGAATAGAAAAGTTATTTCTAAAATTTAGTACCCTAGGCTGCAGTAGATCTCTCCAAATCCTTCTCTTCTCCAAGCTGAACAAGCCCAACTCCCTCAATATTTCCTCACAGGAGAGGTACTCCAGCACTTCGATAATCTTCCTGGCTCTCCTCTGGACCCATTCCAGCAGTTCCACTTCTTTCCTGTACTGGGGATCCCCAGGCCTGGACACAGTATTGCAGATGGGGACTCACAAGGGCAGAGCTGGATCAGCCTCTCCTGCTGACCACCCCTCTTCTGATGCAGCCCAGCATACTGTTGGCTTTTTGCTCATGTCCAACTTTTTGTCCATCCCAGGCACACTCCTCTGCATGGCTGCTCTCATCTGGGTTCTTTTCCCGGTCTGTACTTCTATCTGGGATTGCCTTGACTCAAGTGCATGGGCCTTGCACTTGGCCATGTTAAAGTTAAAGTTTAAGTTAAAACTTAAAGTTTATTAGGCTCTTGGGTGCATACTTTTTGAGCCTGTCCGGGTCCCTCTGGATGGCACCCCTTCTGTTGTGTCAGCTTCACCACGAGCCTTGGTGTCATTGGCAAACTTGCTGAGGGTAAGATATTAAGCTACCATTGTGCAAGATATTATTAAGACCTCAGCTGAGAAAAAACGTAAATTTCAAGCCACTTTTGCTCAAAAAAAAGGATGAATCCGAATCTAGTGGGTGTCAACTCTGTCCATGGCAGGTGTTTGGAGCTTGATGATCATGCATGTCTCTTCCAATCTAAGCCATTCAGTGATACTATGAAATGATTCTATGAAAGGGAGCAAAAGACAACTGAAAAGATCACAGAAATTCAGGATCTGTTCTGCTGGCTTTTTCATTCTAGAAATAAAAAGGAACTGAAGAGGAAAAAGTGCTATTAAAGTGAAAGCTAAGAGAGGAAATAGGTATCAGCTGTTTTCAGTACATTTAGGCTGGAAAAGAGAAGTAGATTCCTGTGTATCAGACAAATGAGGTCCTCTGATGAATCTCGCTGGCAAGAAATGCAACTGATTACAAGAGTCATAATAAACTTCTGTAAGAGACTGCAAGAGATGTTTGCTGGTAGCTCTGTAGCTTACTCAGAAAACTCATCCTGATCTCATTCTGACCTCCTTGAATCTTAGTCTTGTTCAAACAAAGGAAGCGATGCCATTGCTGTCAATGGATTCAGGATGTCTCCTGTATATTATCTGGTACCTGAAGACTGTATATCTAGTGAAAGGAAAGTTTGTCTGGTATCTTGTTTGGTTGTTTTTCTTGTCTCCCACTTTTAGGAAAAGAAATCATTAGGAGTTTGGAGCTTCAGTTCTGTTGGTTTTTTTGTTTTTCTTAAACAGAGACATTTTGTGATGCATTTTAAACTGGAATGAGCTTTAGTAACTGACTTTAAAAATGCCAAGAAAAAATAGAGTGTAAGGGAAAGGATGGCAGATCTTGGCTATTATAACATATAATGAGGCATATTTGTTACGAACAGTCAAAGAACAGCTGTTCCTGTTTGCAGTGTGCATAGAAGAAGTGGTATAAACAATGAGACTTATTAAGCATACTACTTATTTCTGACAGAAATGTGCAAATGTGTGGTTTTTTTTTCTTCTTTCGTCTTAAGATATGAATTCAATCCACCATGATCATAGGGTTGTATTGTATCAGGGAAATTTACCATGCTGTAATTTGATTCTGCCTCCTTTCCCACACCCCGTCCTCCAAAAGTGCTGACAGCCATCACATTGCAAAGACAGCAGTGAGTCTGAAATTTATTCAGCACCTCACATGAAGCACTCAGCATCCTTTGTCCTAAGAGCACCCAAGTCAACCTTTGGAGAGAAAACATTGAAATGTACTTTGGCATGAGTGGACTTCATAAGTTCACTTCCCAGCCTGAGGGAAGTAAATGATCCAGCCTAACCGTAAGCGGTGCTCTATCTGCCAGCGTGTGGATCTGAAGTTTTGGTGAAGTTACTTGGGTGAAGTGAGAGATGTTAGGGATGTCTGCTTAGGACCTATCTAACTCTAAAGGTTAGGAAGAGCGTTTTGGCTCAGATCCTTCCCAAGTGATTGGCTAGCTTTAACTTGATTCACCCAAAATAGCGCAGGAATAGCACAGAACAATTACAAAAGGGTTCTGAAACTCCCATCAACTTTCTAAAATTCAAGTCAGTATTTTTTTATTTACCTTTTGCAGCAGAAAATGGAATTGTCATTGAAACGTGGACCTTGACCATCTTTCAGATTCCAAATACTAGCTAGAATTTTTATCTCTTGCTTTTAACATGCTTTCTTCCTGACTGCTGTGAAACCTAGCAAGTAACAAGTATCCATGCCATTTGGTAGAGATTATTGTATTTCAGGCTCCAAGAGCTCTCAGTTGCTCTCAAGTAGGACTGATTCATCCAACAAAATATTCAGCTGGGTTATCTCTCTCTGCTCTCACCACCTCTTATTCAGTAAAAAAATAAAGAAAAAAAGAAAAAAAAAAGTGGTGTTGTCTGTAATTTAACAGCATTTAAAAACACTGTGCTGGATAAAACATAGTTAATATTGTTGTCAGAACAATAGAAGTTCAAAGGGTTTCCTCTTGCAGTTTGTTTGTAGACAGAAAATTGCAAAGGCTTTTCTTTTTTTCACTTGCTATCAAAGAATTATTTCTTTGAAGCTACTTTCAATTTGTACCATAGCTTCCCCTTGTACTTAAAAAAAAAAAATCCTGTTTCACCTTCTAGCATTATGAGGTTTTGCAAATGTTTGCTTTCTTCTTTTCAGTCCCCTTCTAAAAACTATTTTATGAAAATTCCTCCTGAGAAAAGTGAGACGTTGACTATAAAAGCTCTTTTCATTATAAATCAATGAATCATATAAGTATATTTTAATGACTCAAAAGTAGGCAAACCGTGCTCATAAGGCTAAGCTCAGATGCAAATCTTCATAGCATAGTGATTAACAAGGACAAATAAGTATTTTTTTGTTAAACACAGAAGCACAGTGCGAACATCTGAGTAACTGTCTTCTTCAATAGAAGCTAAAGATTACCTTGTGTGGTTTGCCATATCATCAAAAAGGCAAAGAAAGAAAGGGAAATACACAGTATTGCTATGTCCCACCACTGTGGCAAATGTAACTAAATATTAACAGTTTTCCATTTGTATAAGAAAGAGTGAGAAAGATATCAAAAACTGTACTACAAATTCTTTTAAAAAGTTGATCTCTGTTCCCAGACATTTAGGCACTTTTCAAAATTACAGTGAATTATGTTCAGGTCTTTCAGAAATAGCATCTTACTTCATCTTTTCTTCCTTCCTCTGACCCTCTCTCCCTGTTCTGTGTTTCTTCTGCTTCCTTTTCTCCTCTCCACTCTCAGGCAGTGTTCATTGAATGGTACCTTCTTGTGATGGATAGGGCACACAAAGAAGATGAAAAGTGTGAAGAACAGTAAACAAGAAAAAGCCAGTACAATTATCCATTTATTAAAGATAAACAAGAGATGTAAAGAGAGAGGTAGTAAGGGACCCTCTTAAAAATCATACAGTTAAAAACAATAAGGGTCTGGTAAAGAAGGAGCAAGTCTGAAATTGAAAAATGATTATATTACAAGAATATTTCACAGATCTGTAGATTATGGAGCCAGACAAGAATAGCACTGTGATTTAATCTGAACTCTTCCCTAACACGGGCCATGAAATTTACCTGAATTAATTCCTCTCTTTGTGCCATTTTTTAAAAAAAGAAAGCATATCCTTGACATAATGTTTCCAATTATACAGATCTTACTGCACTTCTGATAAGTAATTTCAAGGACAGCCATACTCACTGCTAGAAAAATAAAAGAATGTGAAATAAAAGAATGTCTTCCCAGGTCACAGCAGTGGTCCACCTAGCCTAGCACTTAGTCTCTTATAGTGGCACTCAGATGCAGTTTGGGGAGCACACTTAAGCCTAACTGCTGAGCTCCACACCCCACGTTTTTGCCCAGTGTGCCACTAGGGATACTAGAAGGTCCATCCCTTAAACTCCTGCTGATGAACCCACCACTCATTACTTTGTCTCTCGTGGACCTGCTGATATTGCTTGCCTCTCCTGAGGCAAAGATGCCCAGAAATTCTCTGCTTTCTGCTTGAAGAAGTTGGTGGGTTTTTGGTGGTTTTTTTTCTTTCCTTTTTTAATTGCTCTGCTACAGATCTCCCACCAATTCTGGTCAGTGCCCCTTAGTTCTAACACTGCAGGACATCCTGATTTTCTGTTATCCCTATTTATGTTTAAATTTGTCTAACATCAACTTTGACCCTCTCCATTATGACTGTTGCAACTTCATGGACCTGCAACTTTCAAAAGTTCACTGTTACCAGCTTTTTATTCCCCACCTAAATACTCAAACCCTAATACAAAATAACTTCTTAATTATTTGTAAAACTGGATTGGAATGGAAAGGCCACCCAGTCTTTCATTAAAGATACTTTACATCCTGCAAGTCATTTTGGTGACCGTTGTCTGCTTTATCTCTAATCTGTTACCATCTTTCTTGCTTTGTGCTGACTGGAATATGATTGTATTAATGTTAAACTCATGCAAGATATTCACCCCTTTTGCATTTCTTTTATTTTATTATTGTCAGTAACCCTACCGTTCATTCTCATCAGAATCATACCATAACTGTCTGTCATTCAATTCTTAGGATCCATTCTTCTTCCCAATCGAATTGAAGCACAACTTCTCTTTAATCCTTCTAGTACTGACTTCTTTCTTTCTATTTCCCATAATATGTATGTTATGATTCCAAGCTTTTAATTTACAGTTAGTGCCATAACTTTCTTCTTTCTAAAGCAAAGCATAAAAATGAAACTATAGTATAAAATTATAATGGATGTTTTTATTCTTCCTCGAGAATGTTTTGTGGGATTTTTTTCATGTCTTGTTTTGGAGCTCTAAGTGTTCGTTTTTAGCTCCCACTTCTCATATGTTCCTCCTAGCTGCTTATTCATTGGTTACATCTTTTTATAGCAGCGTTTGTGTTTGTTTCCAACAGGGCCAAACATAAATTCACTAAGAGTCGTGAGCATTTTTATCAAAGATAAAAGACTAGTCAAATTTGAAAATAATGTGTAACACCTATAGCAATCTTAAGATACTATTTGGTACAAGAATCTTAAGTAGCTTAAGTTTGATCCCAATGTTCCTATCTGGGTTATGTTAGTTTTAAGTAATTGCACTTCTTTCCAGTTTGCAAGATCTGCTGTCCATCTTTACAAGCGAGACCAATTCCTAAAAGAAAATACATATTAGTTAGGATCCTTTATCTTGAACCTAGGATTTTCTACTTTTGTTAACACTTCTGGAATTTGAAATTGAAAATGCAGGATCCCAATTCCAAACACTTCAATCGTGGTTATAGTAATTTTAACAATGCGTTTGTGACTTAACTGAGCTATCGATCACATTTAGTATGATCAACTATTTGTCATGTATTTTATGGGCCATATGGAAACCCTTAGTATTACTGAATTGATGAGACATTTCTGTTTATATTCTTGTTTCAGGTTTCACTAGCAAGAGAATCCTGGTTCCCAAGGTGACGTGGATTAGCTTGAGTCCATTGCTTTTTGGTGAGCTTTTGTGAATTTTAAGTACCTATTTAAGTTCCAATTTTAAGTTTTTGAGTTCTTTTATAAGTCTTTTCCACCTGAAACAAAAGTGGCCTCCTTTTTGAACTTCTCATAGTTTTTATGATTTCAAGATATAAAAACCACTTATTGTACTGGACTTTCAAAATAACCCTCTCCACACACACACACACAATGGCTCTTATAAAGTAATATCTTCAGAAGCAGATCCTTATCTCTGTTACCTGAGAAATTGATAGAAATGTTTTAATTGATTTCAGTAGGAAAAGATGTAGACCAACATTTTCTGCTTTTGTAAATCTCACTGGTGTTCTTCTGAAAATTAACGTGTAAGGAATAAATGCTTGAAATATTGGCATCATTATTTTTGATACAGAAGATTCCCCTTCCCTCGTAGCTGTGTTGTATCTTAACTTAGTCTCTCAGAAGTCAAACCACCTGAGCCTGGCAAAATTCTCTCCTATTCTGTTTCTTCACAAGTGTTATTTCTGATAATTATTTTCCTTCTTCTGATATGCGCTGTTACTGAAGGTTTTAATGGAGTCAGTGTTAAATAGATCACTGGAAAATCTATTTGGTATTTACAGTGAAAAACACTTTTCTTCTTCTTCTTCTTGACATGTACTTAACCTCAAGGAAAAATACTTAGCTTTCCACTTACTTAAGTAGTGTATATAATGTACGGGAAATGATTGATGAGGTTATCAGAGTTCCTAGCTCAGGAATACTGCATGCTTTCCATGCATAATATTCTGCTTATAGCCGTGACGCTCACATTCCAAACTGAATTTTTGACTTTGCCATCTTTGTGTTATGTATTTTGTAATACTGCTTAACCGAGATCGAGAAAGCAGAAGGAAGAAAAAACTAAGAACATGAAATTGGAGAAGGAACAACTGAATACTTTTATTGAGCCACAATTATACTCCTGCCAAGCAGATAACTGCTGTAACTTTCATTTGACAGCTGTGACATAAAATTCTGGTTCCGCTTAATTCAATGAGAGTTGTTCTGTTCGACAGAAAGGGGTTAAGGCTTCACTCAAATATTCTATATTGCCTATTAAACTGAGGATTGAAACTTTCAATAGGTATAAAAATATGAAATCAAAGGCATGTGACTGATTCACATGTTCTAATCATATAAGGCTGCCTTCATTCCCAGTTATGATAACACAACTTCATAGTCAAATGACGCTAATTTGTGGGCAGATTCTGCAGTTTCATTCATGAGGGTTTGATTAACTTTCCTGCAGTCCAAAATATGAAACTGAATGTCTTCCATGTCTGCACACCCCCGTGAGCACCAAGGAGCATCTGCTGCACCTCTGACTGCAGCTCCCACCACACCAAGATGCTGCCCTCATTGAGCAGAAGTGCAGAATGTATCCAAACTGGCAGAGTGAGCCCTAGGTTGTCTCAGTGACCTCCTTTTTCCAGTTGTGTACAACACTTACACAAACAATAATTTACATTGCTGACCCTTTTTACACTGATGGGAAACTAAATAAAGAAGAAAAAAGCTGCAGCGTAGCTGAGGATTAGGCCATCAGTTCGTTGCCATGGGGCCTTTTAATCACACATTCCTATACCCTTGAGACAACAACTCCATTTACTGTAAATACAATTCTCACTATAGATTCTGTTTTCTGATGCTCTAATTATAATCTAGTTGAAAAAAATATATATCCCTTTAAAACAACTTTTTCTTTCATTACAATTTGCAGCTGCTTGTATCAACCTGCTCCTTTTGCACAACATTTCCCTTGAATCTTCTTACATCCCCTAAGGATGTGATCCCACCCCAGAGCTGAATTCTGACAGTTCACCCCCGGACAGTCCTTGATTGTAAAGCAATGGCAGAATCAAAATCCAGATCCCTAGGGTGCAGGTGGTACCTGTGAGTGGTTCCTTAGGTAATATAAGGGCTATTTAAGGGCCTCTTCTTACCTCCTTCCACTCTGTAATGGAACTACTTTTTAGTTAAATGTCAGAGAGCTTTCTGTTCATGAAGCTAGCTCAGATAATGTATCAGCGGGTTTAAGCTAATTCAAATGTAAGCTATCCGCTACCCAAAGGCTGTGAATTTTAAAACCCACCAACAATACACCAACCTCTGACATGGAAACTGAAGTAAGGAAACATTTACAGTCCTGCTGAAGTCAGTGGTCCTACAAAGGAAGTGATTCACCTCCAAAAGGTTTAAAAGATGTGAATACTCCATAGAAGAAAAGGCCACACAGCTGTTGGAAGAATGCACAGCATTCCTGCAGCATGTGGCTGTGGTATGAAAATGTTAATGAGTCCTCTCCACGATGGCTGTAGATAAATACAGCTGCCACTGCAATAATAGGATGATATCCTCCCAAAAAGCAATTTTTTGAATTGGAAATAAATTGTTTCCATTCTCTTCATTCCTTAGCCTCCAAGAAGGCATTTTGTGGATAATAATGCCTTTATGACCTGTTGGGTCAGATGCCTAGGGTCTATGCCCACTGAATGCTAAGCGGGCAGAACAGCAGCAGAGCACCAGTCCTCAGCTTCCCACCTTGTTTAAGCAGATTTTTAGGACAGTGCCGAGGAGCAAACTCTGTTTTATCGGTGCTGAATAGAGACAAGTCACCAGCAACGCTTTTTGCCACAGTGTTAGCAGCCAGGCCTACAAATACCTATAGTACTTGAAAACTGCTAAAATCTCTTTGCTTCCTGCAGCTTCTACAAGGAATAACTTCCCATTTGTTAGGGTGGAAAGTGAGTCAAAGAGCAATGCTAACTCATTTTAAACAATTCAAAAGGAAAATCTGTGTCTCCTGGTTGCCATCCCTATGCTTTGGCAACTGGACAGCTCTTCCTGTCTTGATGGCTTGCCTCAAGTATTGCCTTTTTCCATTAAGCAAATATTGATTTTGTTCTGTTGCTTGAAAACAGGGTAGAAATTAACATGGCTCTTTTTGGTTACTTCATTGTATGTGAGTCACTTGGGAATAGTATTTATTAGTTAACTGCTGTTGCTCATCCAATGAGCACTAGCAGCTGTTTCTGCCCCCCCTCTCCCAGTACGTGTTAAACAGCAACTATTAAGAATGCTCCTCTGCGACCAAGTACCAGGCTTCTCCTTTAACTATTTAACGTCCTGCAGATAGTCCAGCCTCCAAGAAATACAACAGACACAACAGATGATGTGATTTAGAAGAAACAGAACTGGGACACTCAAAGATCTTGTTATTTACTTTATGAGCATCTAGTTCCTTCTTATAATCAGCCATTTACATAGGGTGATGGTGATAGCAAGTTACTAATTTTTGAACGAAGGTAACAGGATGCAATTTCTGTCTGAATGAACAGACTTCTAAATCAACGTGCTGGATTTCATATGAATGTCATCCAGTCCCTTGATGTAGCAGAGATTAGTAAGAGATGGTGAGGATCAAAGGGCGATAGGGAGAGATGCAAGGCAGCTGCCATGGAGAGAGGCAGTGGCAGCAGGCACAGCGTGCTGGGTGCTGGAAGTTTCCTAACACATCTAGCAGCATTCCTGTAGGATTGGTGAATAGATCTCTGTCAAATGGTACATAACATGGTACTATGGAGTTTAATCAGATGAGGATAAAAATTACTTGAGCAACAAGGGCGATAGTTGAGAGAAGATGTGATTGAGATGGCAGTAAGGGACAGTCCTGGGAACTTCCTGCTCTCCTATGATTTGCAACTCACAGAATGATAGAGGAAGAAAAATTTCCTCTCATTCTTCTATACCTCAGTTTCCCCATCAATGAAATAGAAGTAATGAAATGTACTGATTGTTGTGAAGTATTTTGATATCTAGAGATGAAAAGTCCTAAGAACTTGAGGCTCGATCCAAAGCCCTTTGAAGTCCTCCAAAGGCCCTTGATTCAGCTCTCTTAATTTGCATTTGCCTTAGTCTGCAAGTCACCCACCAGCCTCCCGAAATTTAGAAATGTTCCACCCAATGCATTTCTCAAAGATGGAAAAATAATCTCAAGTAATCATCATCATTATCTGTGACTATTTGCCTATTCAGTTTGAATTTACAAAACAGCAGCACAATATATGCATTTGGATTATTTGTAATATTTTACAAGATCAAGGTGAAAACTTAGAAGATAGAGAAGGAAAAACCCAGCATGTTTCCTTGACACCAAAGAACGAACTCTGACAGAAACAAGCAGTTTTTTTTTT